AATGGTCTTGGTGCCCTAGTTGGAAATCACTTGACCATATATTTAAAGGTTTATTTCTAGGTTTTCTATTCTATTCCATTGGTTTATATATCTGTTCTAATGTCAGTTCCACAGTACTTTGATTATTTGTAGCTTTGTAGTAAATTTTTTCTTAAGGAAGTGTGAGTCCTCCAACTGTGTTCTTCTTTTTCAAGGTTGGTTGGTTATTTGGGGGTCCCTTGAGATTTCGTATGAATTTTGGAAAGTATTTTTCGATTTATGCAAAATATTTCTGCCATTGGGATTTTGACAGGAATTGTATCAAATCTGTAGATTGCTTTAGGTAGTAGTCAGTACTCATCCAAATAATATGAAGTCTTCCAATCCACGAACAGGGATGTTTTTCCATTTATTTATGTCTTCTTTAATTTCTTTCAGCAATGTTTTGTACTTTTGAGTGTAGAAGGCTTTCATTTCCGTGATTAAATTTATTCCTAGGTATTTTATAATTTTTGATGCTGTTGTAAATGGAATTGTTTGCTTAAGTTCCTTTTTGGATTGTTCATCACTAATGTATAGAAATGCAACTGATTTTTGCCCGTTGATGTTTTATCTTGCAAATTTGCTGAATTCATTTATTAGCTCTAACAGTTTTGTGTGTGTGTGTATGTGTAATCACTAGAGTTGCTACATATAAAATCATGTCATGTGCAAACAGAGATAGCTTTACTTCTTCCTTTCCATTTTGGATGCCTTTCATTTATTTTTCTTGCCTAATTGATTTTTTGGAATTTTGAATATTGCCTTGAATAGAAGTGGTGAAAGTGGGCATCTTTGTCTTGTTCCTGATCTTCAGGGGAAAAACTTTCAGACTTTCTCCGTCTAGTATGTTGTTTGCTGTGGGTTTTTTATCGTTTTGTGGAAGTTTCCATCTATTCCTGGTATATGGCCTGTTTTTATTATTAAAAACATCGACTTTTGTCAAATGCTTCCAGAAGAAATGCAGCTCAGCTGACACCTTGATTTTAGCCCAGTAACACCAGTTGTGGACTTCTGACCTCCAGAACTGTAAGATAATAAATTTCTGTTGTTTAAGCCACTAAATTATTGTTAATTTGTTACAGCAGAATTAGGACACTAATATAACGTGATTACGCTATGGAAAAAAATCCCAGGAACTTGAAACAATGTTTCACTTCTTATTTAAACTACACGTTCATTGTGTGTTGGGAGCTCTCCCTGTCAGTGTCACTCAAGTATCCAGGCTGATGGAGCAGACCCATCATGAGCATATGGAAGAGGGAAGTTGATCTATAGAGGTTCTGAGAGTTAAATGCATATCCCACAAAATACATCCATCACTTCTACCGCAACTCAATGATCTAAAGAAGTCTCCGGGCCCTGTTCAATGCAAAAGTCCAGAAATGCAACCCTCTGTGAGGCCAGAGAGTGGATATGCGGAATTATTTGGTGAATCACTAGCCCTAGAGAGGGCTCAGGCACCCAGAGCGGCTCTCTGCCACATCACTTAACCTCTCTGTGCCTTATTTCCTCGTTTGTGATACGGTCTCACATTACATACTTGTTGTGAAGGTTACGTGCAGTTTCCATGCAATGTGCTGAGCTCAAGGCCCACTTGTGGTGTGCACTCAGTCAGTGAAAGCTGTTATTGATGAACGCTTGAGAAAACCTACAGGATCACATAAGCATGAATAAACGATCAGTTTGTTTTTCTCCAGGAGCAGCAGGTGCGGAGGAGCTGCAGGTGATTCAGCTTGAGTCAGTGACCATCGCAGCCGGAGGGACGGCCACTCTGCACTGCACCCTGACCTCCATCCTCCCTGTAGGGAATGTCCAGTGGTTCAGGGGGACAGGGCCCGGCCGGGAGTTAATCTACAATTTCAAAGGAGGCCACTTCCCCCGAGTAACAAATGTTGCAGACACCACAAAGAGAAACAGCACGGACTATTCCATCCACATCAGTAACATCACCGCAGCAGACACCGGTATCTACTACTGTGTGAAGTTCCAGAAAGGGAGCCCTGATGACGTGGAGATTAAGTCTGGACCAGGCACCCAGCTCACCGTGAGTGGTGAGTACAGCGTGGGCCTCCTTCATCCCCTGGTGCGTGACAAGAAGTCAGTAATAACGCCCTCCATTCTTTGAGCAACAGCAAGAATCAGGTGTGGCTGTGGGTGCTTATATTCATGATCTGATGTCCCCCCCTTCCACAGATCAGGGAAGTTGAGGCCTGGAGAGGTCGTGCTAGTTGCTCAAGGCCCCACTGCTGGTAAATGGGGGGAAATGTCTGAACCCCCGTCTGCCTGGCTCCACAGCCCTTGCCTTTTCCATCCTGTCCAGCCCTTTCTTCCAGGGAGGAGGGAACTGAAAGTCTGAGTGACTTGCCCAGTCACACGGTCAGACCTCACCCCTGCCCCCAGAGAGTGCCCCTCAGTGTGGCCGAGTCTCCCTTTACTCAGCACTAACTGAGCACCTACTGTGTGCCCGGCACTGCTCTGGGTGCTGTGGAAGCAGCAGTGGACACAGCAGGCAAAGGCTCTTCTCCCAGAAGGCTCACATCCTCTTCCCTTCCTGTGAGGAGAAATCCAGGCAGGGCAGGGAGGAGAGAATGTGTGTTTCTTCACTTCATCCTCAGAAACATCACACTGAGAGGAATCCCTAAGAGGCCCAGACTCTCTGTTTACTCTGACAGCCCAGCTGGAGGAGATGTGCACAGGTTGGGTGTTTGCTGTGTGTCTGTCCAGAAAACTCGCGTGGGATTCAGAGACCAACTCACACAGTCACCGAAGGCTCCCGGCAGAGCTGGGTCATCTCAGAATGTCCCTCACCCAGGGAAGAGGTTCCCCATGTGTGTTACTTAGGTGTTTCCTGTTGACGCAGCAAGGATGGTAATTTAGGGTTTTCTGCTGGAGGCCCAGGATACTGAATCCTGAAATGTCTGCACAGGAAGAACCTTTAGGCCCAACCGCCCCAAACCCCATATTTACAGATGGGGAGCCTGGGGCCAAGAGATAGCGGAGGACTTGCCCACGGTCACATGGCCAGTGAGGGAGGGCATCATTCCAGAACCCAGATCTGATTCGAGGCAGGCCCCTTCCTGCCCTGGCATATGAACTCTTTCTCTAGCAGAGCCTGGCCCATAGTAAGTGATGAATAAATTTGCTAACCAAACCACTGAACAGGAAGCCAGCATTTCTGCTTTTCATCGGTTTCCCAAAGGTTCAGAATGCCCCTCGCATTCAGCCCCTGAGGCCCGAGGTGATTGGGAAGCTCGCCTCATCTTCATCCACATCATCCCCAATCAAACATTCCATGTCAGCACCCAGAGCTGCCCATTGTTTCAACAGCTGCATAACATGCACTGTATGGAGACAGCATCTTTCATTTTACAGTCTTCCATTGATGGATACAAAGTTGTTCCCGACCTTGGGATATTAAACCAGTGCTGCAACACTCTACTCAAGTTGGAGATGCCCACTGGGAATGGCATTGCTAGGTCAGCAGATGTGTGTATTTTAATTTGTTGGATATTGCCAAATTTCCCGCCTAGAGGTGGTAGCAATTGAGTATCCCCCCAAACCTGCCTCTTCCTCAGAGTTCATCTCTGGGAACCTGTGTGTCCTCCTCTGTAAGATGAGGATGATGACCCGCCCTCCCAGCACTATTAGAAGGATTAAAAAATAATCTATGTGAAGGTTCTTAAGTGTGTCACACGCTTATGTTCAGTGATATAATCACAATCAGGTTTATTGTTTATAAATGCTCCTCTTGTAGCCAAACCCTCTCCGCCCGTGGTATCGGGCCCCACAGCGAGGGCCATGCCTGAGCAGACAGTGAGCTTCACCTGCGAGTCCCACGGCTTCTCCCCCAGAAACATCACCCTGAAGTGGTTCAAAAATGGGAATGAGCTCCCAGCCTCCCAGACCAACGTGGACCCAGAGGGAGACGGCGTTTCCTACAGCGTCTTCAGCACAGCCAAGGTGGTGCTGGCCGCGGGGGATGTTCTCTCCCAGGTCATCTGTGAGGTGGCCCACGTCACCCTGCAGGGGGGCCCTCCTCTTCGTGGGACGGCCAACTTGTCTGAGACCCTCCGAGGTAGATGCCCCTCACCCCAGCCCACACCTGCCCCCAAGGCCCCAAGCCCGCTCCTCCCCCTGCTGTTTGCTCCAGGCCTGGATTTCCTGGAATCTAGTTCCTGACCGTCCTTCCCAATCACCAAGCACCTGGATGTGCTGGTCACTCACCTGTTTTAACGGCAGCTGCCAGGTGAACACCGGCCCCGTGCCGAGCTCTGTGCTAGGTCGTGTCGTCTACTTTACCAATAGCAGCTCCAGTTGCTGAGCACCTACTCTAAGCCCAGCCCCCAGGTACTTGGTGATTTCATTTATTTTCCTACAGTTATTATGCTCCCACTGTATGCCAGGGGCTGTGCTCATTGATTTCACTCATTATGACCCTACTAGAAACTATCAGTCCTTGAGCACCTACTGTGTGCTTGGCACTGTGCTTAGTGATTTCATTCATATGCAGAAAGTACTCTCATTGTTTGAGTGCCTGCTGCATGCCTAGCACTGTCCTGGGTGATTCCCATCTGTGATGGGAGCTAAGTTATGGAGCCCTCCTCTGTGATCTGTCTGTTCCATAAGGTCAGAGCCTCTGCCCTGTGCTGTTTCAGTTCCGCCCACCTTGGAGGTTTCCCAACACCCGACGGCAGGGAACCAGATGAACGTGGTCACTTGTGAGGTGAACAAGTTCTACCCCCGGCACCTAAAGCTGACCTGGTTGGAGAATAGAAACGTGTCCCGAACAGAAACTGCCTCAACCCTTATAGAGAACAAGGATGGGACCTTTATCCAGATGAGCTGGCTCCTGGTGAACTCATCTGCCCACAGGGAGGATGTGGAGCTCACCTGCCGGGTGGAGCATGATGGGCAGCCAGCGGTCACCAAACAGCATACCCTGGAGGCCTCTGCCCACCAGAAGGAGCGGGACACAGGTGGAACCCCTGGTGAGGCCTCCACTCCAACTGACCTGACTCTTCATCTTTTTTTATGTTGAAATTAGTAATTAATGCTTATTATTGAATAATCTAGAAGTCTATAAATATAAAGTAGAATTGGAAGTGAGCTCTCCTCCCCTAAATCCCACAATCCAGGAGTCACCACTGGTAAGAGTTTGGTGCATATCTTTATAGATCTGTTGATATCAATACATATTAAAGAAGCAAGAAGGAAAGGAGGGAGCTCATCCTGTTCATAGCATCCTGCCTCTTTCTTTCTCCACCTAACAATGATTATGTTCACCATCCATATCAGCCCACCTCCCTCCTCCTTCTCTTTCTAACCTCTGCCTAACCTCTGTTCCATCCTAGACTTTTCCATCCACATCAGTAATGTCACTCCAGCAGATGCCTGTACCTCCTACTCTGTGAAATTCTGGAAAGGAGTCCTGAGGACAAGGGGTTTGAGTCTGGACCAGACACCCAGGTGACCATGAGTGGTCACAGCATGGGCCTCCTTTATCTCCTGATTTCTGACAATGGACCAGCAATAATCACAACTGCTCACTGCACATCTACTATATGCAAATTCCATTTCCTCTGTGATCTCCTTTGCTGCTTCAACCACCCCTGAGAGTTTGGAGGTTTCCAGAAAGACTTGAGGAGCTATGGGGAGAATGTTGTTGAAGACTTCTTGACATTAGACCAAGTGATTGGGCTAAACTCATCAGGGTAAATCTAAATTCCTGAGGAGAGACACCACCAGCCTGTACAGGACATATGTGCTAATTAGAGACACATTCCCCCTCAGCTGGGCATTGTCCCAAGGACGTACAGAGTCCTCATTTCTATGAACAAAATATGTCTTATTTCTCTCTCAGGTAACATCAGAAGGGAGTCGAGTCAGGTTTCCAGGAGTCTTTACTCCAGAAGACCATTCAAAGGGCCATGTCCTTTCCAACATGCCCTATGGTGTTGTCCTCATCTGCTGGGTCAACCCTGGGACACCGAGTGTCTGTAAGCTTACCTGATACAAAGTAAAGATAGGAAATTGTCTCATTTCCCTTAAAACAAGAGACATACAGAAGTTGCATAATTGTGTCCACTAATAACTTAGTCATGCACACACATCCAGGTGCAAATGGAGTTCACTATTGTGTGGTCTATGATTAAGGACATTGGTTTTTCTACAAAACCAATGCCATTACACACTTAATAAAATTAACAATAATTCCCTAATATTATCTAAAATGGAGTATACATTCACATTTCCCCAAATTTCTTTTATAGCTGTTTTTTGTGCACCAATATTGGTTTTAATTCATCTGTAAATGCTTGGTAGAATTTCCTGTGAAACTATCTGGACCTGGAGAATCCTTTTCAGATTTGTAAAGAGTTTGAAGAGGTTGGGGCTGTTCAAATATTCATTTAATTATGGGTGAACTGTAGTAGGTTGTGCTTTTTCTGTGTGTGTGTGTGTGAGGAAGATTAGCCTTAGCTAATATCCGATGCCAATCCTCCTCTTTTTGCTGAGGAAGATTGGCCCCGGGCTAACATCCATGCCCATCTTCCTCTACTTTATATGGGACGCCGCCACAGCATGGCTTGACAAGCGGTGTGTTGGTGCGGGCCCAGGATCCAAACCTGTGAACCCCAGGCAGCTGAAGTGGAGCATGCGCACTTAACTGCTACACTACGGTGCCAGCCCCTAGGTTGTGCTTTTTGAGGAATTTGGTCCATTTTCTCTAAGTTGTCATATCTGCCTGTAGGGTTGCTCACAATCACCCCCTTATTATCCTTCTGAAATCTGCAGGGTCTGTAGTGAAGTCCCCTCTTGCATTCCTGATACTGGCAATGTGTCAGTTCTGCTTTTTTTGTCATCAGTCTTGCTAGAAGTTTTTCAATGTTATGGATCTTTTCCAAGAACTTGCTTTTTATTTCAGGGATTTTCTCTATTGTTTCTCTGTTTTCAGTTTAATTGATTTTTCTCCTCTTTTCTTTTTTATTTCCTTCCTTCTGCCATGGGTTTATTTTGCTCCTCCTTTTCTCATTTCTTGAGAAACTTATATGACTGATGTTACACTTCTCCTTTGTCTAATGCCATCCTGGTCTCCTCCTGTGCTGGGCAGTCAGGAGAGTGGGATCTAGACCCCTGGCCGCTGTGTTCTCCCTCCAGTGCTCAGGGCCCAGCCAGTCTGCTTCCTCGTCCTCCTGTCAGCGTCCTCCTGTGCTTGTACCTCGCGTTGTTTCTAGGAGTCAGATTGTACTGAAGGGGGAGAGCAGGGAGAGGTGGGTCTACACCATCGTGTCTGGACCAGCCTGGGTTTGCTCCTTAGTCTCCATCTCCCACAGGGCTCAGACCAGGGCTGTTATTTCTGGGTGCTCTCAGTGTGCCTGATTGAGCAGGCTCACTAGTGTACTGAGTCTGGAAATGGTTTTTGTGTTGTCCAGGTTGGTGGGGCTGGAGCAAAGTGCAAGACTCCTCTATGACCCTGCTGCAGAGGGATGCCCAGCCTGTCCTGGGCATCTGAGGGCTCCAGCCACTGCAGTCCTGGGTCCGGTGGGTATGGTGTGAGGATACACATCTTTGGGTTCATTTGTATATTGTTGGGGTATTTTACAATATTCCTAGCTTAATGGGCCTCTCTTCTCTCAGTACAGCACAATCCAGGCATGTAAACGGAGTTTGGGTTTGTGGTTGATTTTGACAGTGGGAGAAAGGTTCTGAGGCCTCTGAGTTTTTTTGTTTCTCTTTGTCTTTCAGGACCTTAAATCCACCCCTGCCCCATTTCCTTTTTCCCTTCACCACTCAAGTGCCAAACAAGACTTTCTCCTTCTCTTCTACCTTTTCCTCTCAGAAGTTATGCACTTTAAAGTGAGTGACAGTAGTCACATCTATCCTTTTAAATGTCCCAGTCTATTTGTGTTAGGTTCCTATTGCTGCTGTAACAAATTACCACACTTTTAGTAGCTTTAAACAACACAAATTTATTATATTACTGTTCTAGAGGGCATAAGTCTACAAAGTGTTGGCAGGACTGTACTCTTTCCTGAGGCTCTAGGGGAGAATCCAAGTCCTTGCCTTTTCCTGCCCCTAGAGGCTGCCTGCATTCCTTGGTAAGGTCCCCACCTCACTCTGACCTCTGACTCGGTCATCACATCTCATTCTCTGACTCTCCTGCCTCCCTCTTTCACTTATAAGGACCTTTGTGATGACACTGGCTCCACTCAAATAACCCAAGATAATGTCCCCATCTCAAGATCCTTAACTTAATCACCAAGGCGAGTGCCTTTTGCCATGTAAGTAACATGTTTACAGATTCTGAGGAGTCTGTGCCAACCCTTTTCAACCAAGCTTACTTTGAAACTCCTTCCTGTGATCCGTGCTCTGCTCTGCAGGACACTTTTCCAACATTTTCAAATTTAGTGTGGATTTAATATTGGTGGCGGGATTTCCAAATAACTCGCAGGCTCCTTTGCTAGCTGCCCTTGTCACTTTTCCTGTGGCTGGGTGAATCTGGGATGGCAGCCTAGTGACAGACTGTGCACTAGGGTTTGGTGATTTTACTCTTTAACTCATAGTTATTTTGAAGTTTTAGCATTTTCTCTTCAAGTGATACAGAGAGCCAGTTTTGTGTAGAATTTACTTTCTCCTCTTTGTGTTTCCTTGTGGTTGGAGAGGTCATTTTTGGAGATAAGGGGTGTACTGCTGCCATTGTCCTTAGTGCCCAGAAGTCACTGAAGATTCTTCAGTTCTTTGGCCCATATGACCCTGTCCCACATCTCAGGGTCCCATATGTCCCCAACAGGGCCCTATTCTGGCAGACAGGCCCACTGAAGTTGAGAATTCAGCCTCCTCTGTAGCTCTGCTAATATAATGATGTCCTGGGCCCATCCTCAGTTCTTCTGCCCTCTGGTTCTAGGAGATAAGACTCTGCAATGCTGCCAGGAAGTCCTCCGGCTCTCACACTTGACCTTACACATGTGATTAATCTCTCTTACTTTTCATTGTCTTTCTCCAAAGGATTGATGCCACAGCAACAGCCATCCCATTCCATAGTCCCTATAATTACCATTTTCCAACACAATTTCAAATGCCTGATGCCAAAGTATTCTCTCGGTCTGGTTACACCCTCCCAGTTCACCACTGGTGAAGTTTAAACACTTGCTCCACTAGCGGGAGCCAGGGCCTCCCCTGCTCCACTTCCTGCCAGTGCTGGGGTCCTCTTGGTCAGCCAGCCCAGTGATCCAGTTCAAATTTGCATCTAGAGTTGGCTTTCCAGACCACTGCCAGATGGATTCACAGAGAGGTCAGTTGCGCTGGGAAGAGACTGAAATGGACATGAGAATGTGGAAGCTTAGTGTGGAGTGCAGCCAGGATCAACATGCCTGTGGGAGTGAAGGGGCAGGACTGGGACAGGGAGCTGGTGACCTACAATCCAGGCACAACAAAGACTCGTGCTCTCACAGAGCTGGGGAGCAGGGTGGTCGTTCAGAGCTGTTTTCAGTGGAGGGGAGAGGGCTGAGCCTCTATACTCCAGTTCAGCCGGTTCTCTGATGCGAGCTGCCCTCCAGAAGGAGGTGAAAACTTGGGCAATGCAGCTTCTTCACCTGAGAGAAAGTCCCAGAGAGCCGCTCCTGACTGTCATCCTCCAGGACCCCAGGAGCAAAAGAGGGTGAGGTCTCCTCTCCTTCCTTAAGGATAATTTTAGTTATGAAAAATTATTTTAATATCTTTGTTTACTTAATTTCAACAGCAAAAACACCTCATTGTAAAAAAGCAAAGAAGCGAAATGTACTTGCTCAGATACAATTTTCTGAGATCAACAGAAAGTTTTCATCTGACACTGGCACTGGGATCAAGGTGGGCCGAATGGCATTTGAAGCCCATCCTAAGCATGAGACCCCATTTACTAGACTCACTAGGGTGTTATCCCAGCAGCAGGTCGCATGAGGTCAGGCCACCTGAGGGTTCCCTCAGCTCCTGAGAACATGGGGTCATCCAGCCTTGCCCCTGCTATGAACCAGGGCAGCCTTGCAACTCTCTCACCCACCGTGAAACCTGTCCTCACTCCACTTGCATGCTGTGTGGACATTCATTCCTATGACCCTGAGAGACTGGACTTGTCTTGGTCCAAATGGCAAGGTCTCTGGGTCATTCTACAGGACAACAGTGATGGATTTCCCTAGGTTTGAATCCCACTAATCTTGTGACCCTCCCTGAACTCTCTGAGTCTCAGTTTCCCCATCAGAATGAGGATAATAATACCTGCTCCATAGAGGTATGAGGATCAAGTAAATAAACCAGGCACTACACTTACAGGTCACTGAGAACACATTCTCCACCCTTCCCTGCAGGGGGACAACCCTGGCATCCTGAGAACGGGGTGAGTCAGAATGAGGAACATCTTAACCCTAAGTTCAGCCTCGAGGTTGAGTGCAGGGCAGGATGTCGCTTCAAAAGCTACAGAATGTTGATGGCCCAGGTAGCCTCAGATGGGGTAAGTTGAGGCCCTGGGAATGGCTCCTGTGTGGCCCCTCTAATGGCTCCTCCTGTTGCTTGATTTCCAGGCCGAGTGCTGTCTGTTGTCCCTCTGGTAGTCCTCCTCCTAAGCACAAAGGTGCTGCTGGCCATCGGAGTCTCTGCCATCTACGTCCACTGGAAATGGACGGCCTGACTGTAAGTTTTGGGGCAGGGAGCGCAGGACATGGTCTGTCCCATAAAGGGGAAGGTCAGTAACAGGGCCATCCCACAGGTCACACAGGGTCAGGACCATGTGGAGTTAAGAGAAGGTGACACACCTCCCTCAATACTCTCAGGAGTATTGTGGATCCCTCTCAGAGGTTCTCAATCCCAGGAGCTGTGTGGGGTCCTGCAGGAGGAGGATTGGATCAAGCGTTTTCAAAGGTGTCCACAGAGTCCTAGGGGTTCTATGGAGGAAGCAGGCAGCGGGAGGCTGAATGAGAGTCAGCTGAGTTACTCGTTCCCTTGGAGACCTTCTGTAGATTATTTGAATGCTGAGGCTCATGGGGCAAAAGGAACCCACATTTTAGAGTAATGTTGAGAAGTCCTGGATGCCGCTCTGAGGGCTGTTCCTGCTCTGATCCTCTGAGTGACAGAGTGGAAAGGATGAGGAAGGGGGATCAGGACTTGGGGAAGAAGGCTGAGGTGGCAGAGTCCTATTTCAGCGGCTGCCTGTTCTCTCGCTACAGGCATCCCAGGAGGAGAACAGCACCGGGGACACAGGAGGCATGCAGGGAACATTTCTGTGATGATGAGCAGATAATTAAATGTGGATAAGTTTCCCACAGCTCCTTCCTTCCTTCAATGTTATGTACAACCCTCAATCTCTGTTGCCTCCTTCCTTCCCTGGGGCCCCGCCTAAGAGAAGGAGCCAAGCTGACTAGAAGCCTCCATGACTCTGCTGCTAATGCCTCCCCTTCCTGGAGACATGCCTGCTCACATCCTCCTGCTGCTCCTTCTCACAATCCTTGATGCCCCCAGAGCTGGTCTTCATACATGGTCCTGAGCCGGGGCCGTGGGATCTAGCTCTGGGGACTGACTCAAGACATCTCCCCAGAATGTGAGGAACAAGTCAAATCTACACATATCAGGATATCTCTCATCCATCCCCTTGGTAATTGGCCATGAACCACACACTCATGTACATGCATGAAGAGTTATTCTGTCTTCTGGATTCCTGTCTACCCCAGACTCCCTAGCCTTGTTGAGTTGCTCTTTGGCCTCTTGAGTACAAATGAGCCCCCATTCTATTTTTAGAAGAAAAATTGTTCTCCTTCCTCTTTGCCTCAATGTCCTACTCCTCAAACCCAGAAAGAAGTTTTCCCCACTCTGTGATGAAAACACTAATTCTATCTTCTTGCATCCTTCCCAACCCTGTTGCTCGTGGTACACATGCTGTCAGTCTAAAAGCTGTCAAGTCACCTTTGATTTCTCTTTCTCTTATATCTCATATTCAGTTCTGCCTTCAACATCCTTATGTCCAGAGATGAGATGGCAAATGTTTAACAATTGACTCTACAAAGGAGAAAAAAAACTCTGATTTGTAGTGCTTGCCAATTTCTGGGATGTAAACACTCCCACGTGGCCAATTTCAAGCTACCAACATTTTAACAACCAGCTTGCAAAATTCCTGAACATGTAACAGTCGGCTCCCCTGAGCCTGTCCAAGCCTTCCCCTGCACACCACTGAGTTATATCCATAATCTGCACACTTCTCACCCCACCACTACTCCCTGGTCCCAGCCACCATCATCTCTTCCTGGACCATTGCTAGAGTCTCTAGCTGGCTTTCCTGTTTCAACCAGAGTGGTTCTTTGCAAATGGAAGTCAAATCCTATCACTCCTCTGCTTCTTCCCCAGCATATCTGCATGCTTCACTCTCTCCCTTCTTTCAAGTCTCTGCTCAAATGTCACTCTAGTAAAGGCACCTTCCATAAACCACCCTACATAAAATATAAATTCCTCTCTTACCTGGCATTCCAATTCCTCTTGACCTGGTTAATTTGTCTCCTTAGCACTTATTAGCATCTGACATACTAAATATAGGCAGTGCTCACTTTGCACACAGTGCAGGACCATAAAAATGACCCCGCAATTGAAACCATAGAAAGTGATCTCAATAACCAATGGAATTAATAATGATTGTGCTGTGACCTTTAATTTTTTTTTTCAAAAAATTAGAAACTCTCTTACTGGTAGTTTTAAATGTAGAGGGAAATGAAAAAATAGAAAAACTAATATTTACTTAGTATACTCTCATTTGAAACACGAGAAACATTGAGAAGTAAAGTGTTTTATTTCTATGTAAAAACTTATCAAGAGCAGTTTAAATAGTGTTTGCTGTCTTCTTGTTGCATAATTTGTGATAAGCATCTTTTCTGTTCCTTGGTGAATCCTCCCACTCCTTTCTAAGTTTTGATCAGCTTCCAGCATTTTATCCCTTGTTCTCTCAATGTTGTGAAATCTTTACAAAAGTTCCTTTAATTTGAAGTCTTTGCTGGTGTCACTGCTTCTGGGACAAATTCGCCCTTTTCCTCACCACCACTTTCCTCACTTATGTGGTAAGTTTGCCATCACTCAGTTCCTCTGGCTGCACATCTGGAATTTTTCTAACAGTGTCAGTGTCAACATTCCCACGGTCAGCTGTTTCTTCTATAACTCCACTTACGTTCTATTTGCATTTCACTTCCAGCTTTATCACTTTTCGTTTCTTCATTGCACTTTCATCTCTGTTGCCCATTCCCTTTTGCCATAACTCATTTTTGTAAAATGTCATGTGGGTTCATCACTGGGAGACAAGGAGACAGCACGACTACATGCTTTGAAGCCTGTGCATAAACTGAGTAATAGAGTCACAGTGATCAATCACTGCAGACTGTGAAAGAAGTCACGTGATTGGTTACTGATCATGATGAGCATCTGTTAGTTACATAGTGACTTGTGGACTGAAGCAGAGCTAGCAGCAAAGTTTGTACTTATGCAATTGCTCACAGTAAATTTACTGTGGTCACTGGAATTTGAACAATGTGCTGGGGGACTGGTGTTATTTAACTGAGCTGTGATAACTGAAATTCATACATATCAGCACCATGCAAAGTGAGATGTGCCTGTGTGTGTGTGTGTCTCTTCCTCAAATAGGATGTCAGTTCTAACAGAGAAGGGACTATCTGCGTCCTCAGATGTCAGAACAGTGACTGCCATGTAGTAGACCATCACATTTTTAAAAAATAAATGAATGACTACCTCATTGAGGACATTAGTTTCTACTAGATGCTAGGTTTCAAAATAAAATTTCTATTCATTCAAACACCTGACTCTTGTCTTCTGAAGGCCTTTACTTGAAGACTAATCTCTCTTGTGTTAAAAAAAAACTCATCAAAAATTCAACATCCTCTAAAAAGTAAGGAAATGCCAAAAAAAAAAAAGAAAACACACACACACACACACACACACACAAAAAGAAAACCTCATTGATTGGAGAATATCAAAGGGGTGCAGGAAACAACTGAAAGAGCTCCTAAAGGCCAAAGCTGGAACAATTTGAGCAACAAGATAAAGAAAGTACTGGATTATGTGATGGTCTGAATGCTTGTGTCCCCCCTGAAATTCACATGTTAGAATCCTAATCCCAATGTGATAGCATTAGAAGGTGAGGCTTTTGGAAGGTGATTAGATCATGAGGGCTCCATCCTCATAAATGGAATTAGTGCTCTTATAAAAGAGACCCCACAGAGCTCCCTAGCCCCTTCTACCATGTGAGGATACAAAGAGAAATCTGGAACCTGAAAGAGGACCTTCACTCAACCATGCTAGCACTCCGTTCTCAGACTTCCGGCCTCAAGAACTGTAAGAAATAAATTTACGTTGTTTATAGCCATCCAGTCTATGGGGTTTTGTTATAGCAGCCCCAGCTAAGACAAATCTAAATAAAGTATGAACTTTGATTAACACTAATGTACCAATATCAGTTCATTAATTGTAACTAAATACCATACTTAAAAAAGATGTTAATAGGGGAAACTGTGTGCAGCAGTATATGGCAATTCTCAATTATCATCTCAATTTTTCTATAAATCTAAAATTGTTTAAAAAAATAAATCTAGTTTAAAAAAATTCAGCATCTTCTCCTCAGCTGGATCTCTGCTTCTTGGACCCTCTAGGGGGACAACACAAGAAATGTGTGGTGAGGAGACTTCTGTGTTAATATATCCAAGTTTCATCTCACTTCACAGGCCTGAAGTTTCCTAGTCTTCCTTCCTCTGTCCTCTGCCAGAGCTCACCCTAGACCCAGGCACTCAGAGATCCCAGAGGAAGCTGATTCTCAGTCTTCCATGATATTCATCCTGAACTTCTCCAATTAGTAAAGCCCAGATCAGATCAAGTGGGGCCAGATAACTTTGGGTTACAGGGGTGAGGTGAGATAGCTTTCAGGACCTAACTCTGGGAGAGTTAATTAATGTCCTAAGCCCAACTTTTCTCGGGTGGAAGACATTCTGAAGAGGCTGATGGTTGCTGTGATGCACCATCATGGAGAAGATGGCCCTCAGCTCTCAGCCCTCTTTGGAATTAACTCAGCTGAGGAGAGCCTCCTTGATCAAGGTCATGCTTGGGAACGTGCCACATCCAATGACTCATCAACATGGTGATATAAAGGCCCAGCCCTGTCACTCCAGCTCAGGACACTCTGAAGGAACATCCTAGCACCACAGCTCCATGGGGGTCAGCTAAGGTCTTCATTGAGACTTCATTGCAGCTCAACTTCTCCTTCTATCCAATCCTGCTTCCCTCTCCTCCCTTCCACAGATATTGATCCTAAATGTACTCCCTAAAAAATGATCTGCTTGTTAATCTTCAACTCAGAGTCCGTTTCCCAGGAAACCCAACGTGGGACAAAGAGGCCGTGTTGGGTACCAAAGTGGTTACCCCTTTGTTTCTAGGTGCCAAGCAGTGATTGAAGGAGGGATTGTTTGTGCTACCATATACCATAGACCATATAGTCTTACTATACTAAGAGTAATGAGAATCCGCAAAAGTGTTTACACAGGAAAGGGGTGTAATCAGATCTGTGTTGTAAAAAACCACTCTGGCTGAACTAGAAGGAAGAGATTACAGTGGGGAAAAGAAGATGCGGTAGCCTAGTTAAGAGGTAATCATTTTCATTAAGGCAAGAGATGATGATGGAGATGGAGAAACAAATGAAAGAGGTATTTACGAGGTAAAACTAACAGGGTCTGGTATAACAAATTAGATATGAGTGGACAAGTGAGGGTGTAGGTCATCAGTCCCTTCTTGGTGTCGCCAAGTGGATAGATGATGTTCCACATACTGAACAGGGTGGGGTGGGAGAAGAGAATGTCTGAGTGTGGATTATATACTCAGTTTTGAGTATTTGAGGTATACAAATGAAGATTTCAGGGTCAAAGGATATATAGGTCTGGATGATGGGCTCAAGATTACTCACCTACAGGATTTGATCCTAGGTGGTACCTGGTTCCAAAGCCAATGCTGTTGAACATCAAGACACTAAAAATGCCATCCTCTGAAGAGCTTAGAGTCTGATGGAGGGTGTGAAGATTGCTGGAGGTAGCAGGAAGGGATGGATGATGGAGGCTGGAGGAAAGATCTTATCTAGTTCTCAGCAGGGGCCATGAATGGGCTTCCCGGTGTGGAATTCTTCATACCAGAACAATGGCATATGATGGAGACATCACAAGGAGAGGGGGAGTCTTATCATCTCATAGAGGATATTTGGGCCTGCTCTGCATTCTCCTCTT